CTCTTACGTCAACAAAACTTTTTGAAATGGTACTTTAAGAAAGATGTACTGTAAACATAAACATTTGGAAAAAATAAATCTCCAGCAAGGCGGATTTCAAGAACAACCGGGGTCATTGATCATGATGATGTCTTTTATATTACGTGAAAGTGTGTTTTTCTCACGGGAACAAGATAATAAACTTTATGTCTGCTTTCTAGATAGGCGTCAATCATTCGATCGCATGTGGCATATAGGCATCTTCTACAAACTCTTAAAAGTTCATATCGACGTTACGTCATCCCTTGCCTTTAAAGCAGCACACCTCCAGATTCCTGCTAATGTTCATGAAAATTTTGAAAATGTATTCAAAAGTAAAATACTATTAAGCTGACAGAGAAAATAATATGCAAATTTCAAACGGTACTTACAACCAATGTAAATTACAAAAAAAGAGGTCAAAATATGCAAAATTAACACTTACAGCGTTAGTAACGCAGTAGAAATATGGTCAAAATTACTGAAAAAAAATTGCCATCAATCGCAAATAACATGGAAATTATTACTTTTATCTTTAGTCTTTTTACTTTTCATAAAACCTCAATACATTTTTCTTTTCATTTTCTTGAAAGAGTTTGGCTCATCTGGAGGCATGCAGCTTTAAAAACTTATAACGTAACATTTCAAGCTGTGTAAGACGCTGAGGGTTCCTCTCAGAATCATTCCCTATACTTCAAGGTACCAGACAAGGAATGAAAAGTTCACCAACGCTGTGTCTTCTCTATCAATCATTATGATCTTATCAATAAACTTACAAACAGTTACGTAGGTTTTTGTTTGTACGGCATGAATATTTGTACAGTGGCTGATGACATGGTATTGGTATCCTTCTCAAAGAATGGACTAGATGAAATGTTGTCTATATGCGATGATTATTCGAAACGATAGCGCTTTGCATAAAACGGAACCAAATGTGGAATCATAGTCTTTAATGAACGTAATAATTTAAATCATCACGGCAGTGGAAACTTGGTGCTCAGACAATTGAAGAAGAAGAAGACTATACACATCTTGGTATCAGTTGTAAAGACTTCACGTCAACAAAGAAGTCAATTCAGGATGCAGGTACATATGCAGGTGCAGCCACGGGGTACATACTTAAACATAATAAACAGTGAACTATGTACAAACGAACTTAACTCACTTACAGTCGCAGGTAAGGCACAGACATATTTAGCTCAATGTATAAGATAACTTTTTTAGCATTTAAATCAGTTGTTTATAGAATTTAAGATCTCTCTTAATAAAATAATTGTTACAACATGAACTCTTGCATTAATATCATATTAATCATATATTAGTCGCCGGTAGAAATATAATAAGCCAGAAATATTACAACATCAGGCCAACAAAAAATTGAGAGGGACTAATGTGGGCTTAACCCCTCTGAACGCACTTCCAGAAATATGATAGTTTAAAACTATAAATTTTGGGTGTAAAAGTCTCCTGATCAACATGTGATCATATTTTAGTTGTTTATACTAAAATATCAAAAGTTAAGTATGTTATTAGATATAGAAATGTAATATTAACTCAGTGAAGTAGTGTTTGTACGTCAGATATATGTTTTTTTTTACAAAAAAAAAAAGAAAAAAACATATGAAAACAAAATTACAGAAATGGCAGAGAAAATGAGATAAAACAAATTTACGACTCAGACTTAAAGCATGAAAAACTCAGCAGAAAAGCAAAAGGGAACCTGACTCCATAAATTTCGACATACCAGTTTACTGTGACGAGGATGACCTTATGGATATGGATATTAGGATTGCGGACCCTAATGGGCACTTTCAAGAATAACAAAGAAACATTTCTCTTTCAAATATATAATATTTAAGCATGTTATTGCAGGATTTTTAACATCTTTTACCATGTACAACTCTAGATATTTGTGTTTCAATATGGTCACCCTCAATTTCGAAAAATGGAGAAAATAAAGTGAAGACCTAAGTAACATAACAAGGTCTAATTTTCAAAAGTATAATTTTAGACTATCTAAATATGTGTTTTATAGTGTACTTCCATCAATTCTATGAAAATAATAATACAAAAACTAAAATATTTTCATATTTTTTATTTTTCAGTATCAAAAATGTTTCAAAACGGTGCTCGGACAATGCATTTTTTTTTCTAATTTAATCCAAATACCAATTTTAACATTTTTTTTAAAAAAAATTATTTATATTCAATAAAAATAGAATAGATAATAATTATCTACCTCATTTAAGGAAACAAATCACCAATTTTTAAGAGATTTTACCATGGCTATTTCATTTTATAGCTTATTGAACAAAACATGTGTCAATTTTCAAATAGTCTGAAATTGGTCGAAAATATTCATAATCTAACAAAAAATGTACATTTATAATATCAAACTTCTTTTGAAGTAAGAACTACATAACAAGTTACCTGATAGTTGTCAGAAACTTATCAGATAAATTAAAAACACCTTAGAATAGATTTAATATGTGTTATTCATATTTATAAAAGGTAGTTCTCAACCTCAGAAAAGTGAAAAATAAAGATAAGACCTAAGCCACAAAAAGAGGTCTTCTAATTCTCACTATTTTCACTCAAGACAATCAAAATATGAGTTTTCTTGTGTTTTATAGAGTGATACCATTAACAATATGAATACAATAATGTTAAAACTAAAATGTGTTCATATTTACTACTTCTCAGTATCATGCACACTTCGATCAGTGCACGGACATTGCATTTTCCATCAAAAATTGAAACCATTTTGTAATTTTTTCCATTCTTAAAAAATCTGTTAAAAGTTCAATCTCACTAGAAAAAAACATTGATCATCTTTACCATTTGAAGAAATTAATCAATAATTACTAGAGATTTTTACTATGGCCAATTCATTTAATAGCTTACTCAACAAAATAGATTTAGGTTTTAATTTATTTTTTTAAATATTCATACCCTGAAAGAATTCTGTATCATAGATTTTGAACTACTTTTGCAGGAAGGAAATTTAGCAAGTTCTATTAGAGTTTTCCTGTACTATAATGAACATGTAAAAAACAATCACACAACCTTAATCCGGAAATATAAAAAAAATGAATTTGGTTACTATTTTCCATAAAAAAAACCCAACAAATTATCATTTGTTATCATTTATGACCAAAATGCTGGAAACAAAATGAAATTTACAATTATCACAGAAAATAAAATGTTACATAGAAAAATAGAATACAGTACCATAAAAATTACTATTTTATGATATATGACTGGTTGTATGACCCTTAAATTGTTGGTACATAAATATAACCAAAGCTGCTTCAAGTTATATAGCAACCTTTCAAAAGTTTCTACAACAAATTGATAATAATGAAGGAATATTGTTTTTATGTTCAAAAATTATATTCATTACAAATCTTTTGATAAATGATTTTACAAACAACAGTACAATAATTAACAAAATACTGTAATTTTCTTTGTTCAATTGGTGTGCTTATAGGTTTTCTCCATTTACCTGTTTCAATTTCTAACCTATGGGATGACATTCTCAATCTAGACATTGACTTTCTATGTTTTTCTACATTTAGAACATTTAAGTAATTCTGAAAATTAAAACTAGAAATTGTTCTGTAAAATAATTAATGCTCTTGATAATTCCTGTAAACTTTCATTCCAGTCCTGTTGGTATATATCGTACAATTGTGTCTTTAAAATATTCAAAAATATATTGACATCACCAACTCCTTGGTTTAACCAAACATCATAAAATCCTAATCTAGATAATAACCTTTTTACATTGTATACCCAACTTATATGATAAGGATGTGATTCAAGATCACTTTTTAAAACATTGTACATTTTCTTTGCATATTTAAATCATCACTTTGACATAACTTTAACCAGTACCGTATTATATGTAAATATCAGATTCTATGAGTACTAATTTTTACCATTTCATTTAAAACTCTATCATATATATTTGACAAAATGAAAGCTTCTCTTGAGCTTCCTTTCGGTACTACATGACAAAGCAAAGACACAAAAATATATCATTATGTAAATCAAATACTGAACCGTTAATTTTCAGCCATAAAATATCATCGCTATCTGTGCTGTATAAAGACACAAAATCAATCAAGTCAAGTTTTACGTATACAGCAACGCCGCCAGAGTTTCTTTTACTATAGCTATTGTCCTCCGACCGATGTAGACTAAATAACTCAAAACCGTCAACCTTCATGTTAATACATTCACTCGACCAAGTTTCTGTCAAGAAAATCATACTGTAATAATCGAATAAATACATACAATAACATAAAATTTTCCTTGCAATAAAAATTAATATTTCTGGGCAAAATACACCCCATCTAAATATCATTATTTTCGTCTTACATGTGTTCACTGAAAGTTTCCATCTATCACAATAATCTGCTTAAACATTTAAACCTTTTTGTAGTTCGTTTTTACTTTTTGCAAGAATAACAATATCATCAGCATATAAGATTAAGAACATTTTAACAGACTTCCCGAAAGTTTAAAAAAACTGTCAGACATTCGGTCTGACAAACCATGAAAATCTGTCGGACCGAAACAAAATCTGTCGGACCAAATAAAATTGATCAAAATCAATGAAAAACTTGTGTTTGTATTTCTAAGACACTTTTTGTTTTTTTATTTCTTGCCGTAAAAATCGGCACAATCCGTACAGCGCATTTTCATTTCCTCCCTGTCATACACCCCTGCTTCCTTTTTTCATTAAATTTTGTCTCAGGTCTATTCTTTTCATCCTTTTATTGCTGTTCTGCGCACTCTTCTGACGTAGATTTTCGTTTTTCCCCAGGTTTGGCACCTTTAGCGACGCCATTTTGTATACATGCGGCTTGAATAAAAGCCGGACAGTCGGACCGATCCGGAATAAAAAATTGTCGGACCTGATCAAAATTTATCGGACATGTCCGTCGGACCGACGTATTTCGGGAAGTCTGTTTTAAACATATCAACATCAGTACATTTAATTTCACTTTTTATGAATTCATCTTCAAGGTTTTCAGATACATGGGAAAGAGATAGGGAGACAAACACTCTCCTTGTTAACACCAAGAAAACATTCGTATGGATCACTTAATCTACTACAATGTTTTACTCTTGTTTTTAATGTTGTATACATAGATTTTAAAATATTTAAATGTCTCCACTTAATGTCCCAGTTTTATCAACTTATACCATGAATTATCATGAACAATATAATCAAACTCTTTAGTAAATACTGACAAACACAAAAGAGATGTTTGCTCTGATAGACATTGTAAAACAAAAATATTATCTAATTTAATTCAATTCAATTCAAGATTCTTTATTAAGTAACGAAAACAAGTTATGTTTCTTGTTACATGATACAATTAACATTACACATGACAAATACAAAAAGACATGAATGATTAAACTCACTGAAAACAAGTAAGCATAATGAGCATATACAAGAGGATGAACTATGTACAATTTGCTTGGCTTTAATTAAAGCAGCACACCTCTAGATTCCTGATAATGTTCATGAAAATTTTGAAAATGTATTTAAAAGTAAAATATTGTTAAACTGACAGAGAAAATAATATGCACATTTCAAAAGGCACTTACAACCATGTTAAATTACAAAAAAAAGAGGTAAAAATATGCAAAATTAACCCTTACTGCGTTAGTAACGCAGTAGAAATATGGTGAAAATAACTGAAAAATTGGCCATCAATAGCAAATAACATGGAAATTATTACTTTTATCTTTAGTCTTTTTACTTTTCATAAAACGTTAATACATTTTTCTCAAGTTATATTTTCTTGAAATATTTTGGTTCATCTGGAGGCATGCAGCCTTAATGTTAATATAATGTCTTTGGTATTAGCAATCATAATGCCTCTTATAACATAATCTATTTCATCTCCTCCAACTCTTTCAAAAGTTTAACTCTTGAACCATGGCCGCCAAGCGTTGTCCAATCTTTGTGATTCTTCTGTGAGATTGAGAAAGGAAATGTCAGTCATCTATTAATAGTGTATGATGGGGATATATTTATAACTTAAACTTTAAAACATTTTAAAAATTTAGGTTAATATTATTTTTTGTTTTGAGAAGAAGAAATATAATAGTTGAATGCTAAAAATATATGATTTGAACACGATAAAAATTTAATCATTCGGCGGTACCATTAGAATAAATTGGGCTGGGCAATTTATTTGATTATTTAATCGTGCATTTTTGCCATAAAATAAAATCATAGTTGAATAAAGTACACATAAAGTACAATAACGTAGTAATGTCATAACATTTCTACATTTTAACCATTTAGCTGAATGATTGTATCCATTTAAATGGAATATACAGGAAAAGAATTACAAATATAGTTTTTTTTGAGTGGCGACATGGCCGAGTGGATAACGCGTCAGACTAGTAATCTAATGATCGCTAGCTGTATGGGTTCAATCCCCGTCAGGGGCAAGTCGTTGTTTCCTTGAGCAAGAAACTTTACACTCATTGCTCAGTACTGGTTGGTTCCAGGAACGGATTCGAAAGTGTGTCTATAAGCTTATAGCTTCCTACACAATCGAACTAAAATAAATTCTGTATAAACCAAATATAGTTTTACAGAATTCGAAGCAAACGCTTATTAAAGAGGTAGGCAATAAAATCGTATGCTTTGCGTCAATATTGATGTAAACAGAATAAAAGGTATGTTCAAAATAACTATTTTCAACCATACATAAATTTAAGATCAATACACACCTGTATCAGATCAGAACCATAGTAGATTGTGAAAACACCACAATCAATTCCATTGTTTTGTCTTGGAACCTAAAATATAATTTAACATAAGTATTATGTCATTTTCTCATCTTGGAATTATACATTTATTTATAAATCTGGAAACAAAGTGATCCCTCAGAAGCATGAATCACAACAAAATTACAAGAGAATTGCAGACTCGGTTTGATTGAGTCTGTACATGAGGGATACTGAATAAGTGCAACATCCCTCACGCCCCCTAGCACTGGCTGGAGCGGTACTCAATTCTCAACACTTAATAGTGCTGGCATCAAAGGAAGGACCAGAAACATATAAAAACATGAGCATTCAAAGTTGTATAAGAAAACAGAGCCTTTGATGCCATAGATCATCAAAACTGATGAAAATAAATAATTTGAATCATACATGAGTGTCACAGCAAAATGATATTATTGTTGCCTTTATATAATTAAGTGCAGCAGTCATTGCTTTGTACTGGTTGTAAAAACTAATTATTTTAGGTAAGGTATGCAAGTTAATAATTGAATGACATTTGCCGTGGGGGGGGGGGGGCATGGATTTAATAGCTCAGTACACACCTTAGGGTAGCTGACTGCAATATCTTGCGCAACTCTTGAAATTCTTGGTAAGAAGTACCTGAAATAATAAGTTGTAATGATACTAATTTTAATTAGAAACCATTTTATGTGGTTTTATTTTAAAAAATATTGCAAGTGCTCTGCATTGTTTTATACGTTATTGTTTTGCCTAAGTAATTTCATTCTACATGTATTATATAATGATAAATTTGATATTTCTTCTTTAATATTCATTGTCCGTGTCGGTTTAATTATGTCATTATAAAATTGACATTACTTTATAATCTTTGATGAGAAGTTCAAATTATATTGTGATGTAAATACCGTATGAACTTTGAGAAAAAGAAGGGAACACAATGATATATTTGAAAAATTAATAATAAATATAGTGGTATAGTTATTAAGAAATTCTCATACAACATTTTTGTAAGATATTATTATTGTACTTGTTATCAATATGTATAGTAACAATTTTGCCATAAATAATTTCAGAATTAGTGTCTTAATTTTAGAAACTCTTAACTGAACCGATTGTACTTATTATGTTTGATTTCAGAATTATTACCGTTTCAGTGTGTACGCAACATTCTTGTAAGTCTGCCCTAGGGAGCAGATAATATAGAGCTGACCTTTTCTTGGGTACAATGCCGCTAGGAACCAGTGGACGCTGAAACAAATTCCAATTCTAGCATTACATTCCATCACATTTTATACAAACTTGTTGTTACGGTTTCATTTAGTGTGCTCTCATAGTAGGTTGATATACAATTCAATGCAAAATATTAAAAAAAACAACACCGCACAAATGATGTAAAAACTAATTATGTGAATATGAAATTTTTCTACTATTACGTATGAGTGTTGTTAAGAAGAGAAATGAAAACTAACATCATTAAGATTTATTATCTATTTAAAATTCACACTTACTTATCGCAAATAGGAATGATGATTAATTCCTTTTCACAAACTTCTAGATGTTTGTAGAATTTGTCTGCCTCAGATTTATTGAATGAGGTCAAGCTCAGCTTGGTTCTGAAATTTAAATATATTATAGAGGGAACTTCAATTTACATTCTCTTTTACTCTCAGCAGTGGATATTTCCAGAAAAAAATAGAATCATACATATATATTATTTTTAATATTGATGCATAATGTTCCTGGTTGTGAATAAGGTATAATATTTCAGGGCTCTAGTTAGACCAAAATTTTAGGGAGAAGTGACTTCTCCCTCAGCTCCTATCAGGGAGAAGTTTGACGACATAAGGAGAAGTGAAAAAGTGCTTAGTATGTACATTGATTTGATCTATAAAAAGGAGTTTTACCTATTTATTGATAGTGATATTTGAAGTATAAGTTCTAAAACCCTCTATCATAAGACCATTATAATGTTTTCTTTCTGATTAACTCCACACACCCCCCTCCCTTAAGAAAATATTCATTGTACAACACATACTGGCAAAATTCTCAATGAAAATTGATGTAAACGATACATTAAGGAATTTTCATTAATAAACTACATTTTAAGTGTTATTGGACACATTTTAACAAAACAATTTTTCCTTTTGGTAACTATTATATTTTCATCGTAAAAATCGGCATCGCGAAAATATGTGACAAATGAAAATATGTCTGTTTCCTGCAGAAACACTTACAATTCTAGTTGTTGTTGATTTTGATTACATTTAATTAAATATTCAATGATTGTTTTTAGATTGTTATTCATCCGCTATTGCAACAGGCATTGTAAAACAAAATTTTCAAATTTGTAGTTTACCGCTAATTTACCGACGTTTATGTAATTTTTTGAAGACAACGTTTATCTACTACTGTTTTTGACTTGTCCAAAATTGGTCTAATGTGGGAAAAAGAAACCTTTTTATCAAAGGGCCATAACTCGGCCAAAAATCATTCAACCGGAAAACCCGTGCAATATGCGCAAAGACTTGAGCTACAGATCAATCCTGTAAAGTTTCATTGAAATTGCATTAGTGGTATAAGAGAAGTAGTCCGGACAAACTTTAAAATTAAAAATTATTAAAGGGCCATAACTCTGACAAAAATCATTGAACCGGAAAATCCTGACAATATGCACAACTAGACTTGGTACTGATCATTCCTGTAAAGTTTGGATGAAATTGCACCAGTAGTTTATGAGGAGTAGTCCAGACAAGGTTTGTGACGGACGGACGGACAGACGGACGGACAGACAGACAGACAGACGACGGAGAAGTGATCCCTATATGTCGCCACTACTCCGTAGAGGCGACACAAAAATTACAAATAATCGTCTGTTTTGAAAAGGTAGAATAACTGATTAAGATTTGTGATACATAATGTATATAAGAGAGAAAGAATTAAGGAATTAATTGTATCAGTTAAAATAGATAAAGATTTTGAATATATGGCTGCATTCCAAAAGGTAGGTATCGGAACAATAGGCAGTTGTCAACAATGAGAAATAGTGTCATGTGTACAGAAAAAAATCTTTACTTCGAGAAATTAGAAACTTGTTGGGTAAAGCCTCAGATTTACTCAATGGCAGCATGCCCACTGAATTTCAAACGTAGGGGTACATGTACCCCCTGTCATTGAAAATTGGGGGTACATTTCAAAATCTGGGGGAACACATAGTTTAAACATGTTTTTGTTTGTTAGAACATTTTAGTCAACATGATATTAATGAACAGCTGTTTTACTAAGTATTACTACCCACTAACAGACACAAACTCATCACCTACCCACTAACACAGGCACGAACTCATCACTTAAGGTAGCAATATAACAGCCATTACAATTACTGGTATTTTGTTAAGTCCATACGATTATTACAGTACCCATAACCAAAATTTTGTATATCAGAAATTATGTACATTTATTTCAAAATCTCAATATGACATACGTAAAACTCACAATTGAAGGTACTGGGCAGGAACCAGTTTCCGGACAATATCAGTTTCCGGACAAGTATTATAACGGCTTAATTTTTTGCTCTATCGATGACGATCAGTATAATATGTCATGAAGATGCTTGGTTTGATTGTTTGAGAAAATAAACTTCCTTCCAAGTTGATACATCATTAAAATTTTGTGAGGATAACTTACCTGTGTTTTAAAAATAGCCTTATATCCCTTTGGGGCATGTAATTTGTTCTGCGCATGCGCAATATTTTGTTGATTTTGGGATATAATTTGGGGTAGCAATTAATGCACAATGTACTTCATTCGAAGTTCATTGGGTGTAATTCCCCAGAGCTAAATCTGTAACGTATCGGAAAACAGTGTATAGCTAGGTTTACTCCACTTTCGCACTTTGTTGCTGCCGTACACACAAAAAATATCCGTTTCACTTTTCAGTCCAATGATTCAGAGATCGTTATTTTTCCTATCATAAACATTTTTCAGTAAATCAGCTTAATTATATTAGAAAGCTAATATGTGAGAAGAATTTTTTTGTTATATTAGAATAATTATCAGTTAAAAACAGATATGAATATATGTCCGGAAACTGGTTCTGCAAGAGTGAACAATTTACACTTTCGATGACCTAATTTAACCCTTCAGTTCGTACATTGCTTACGTCACCAAGCAGTATTAATTGTGTTATCGGACGTAGTTAGAGCTCAGGTTTTTGGTATGTTAGTTTTATTAATGCATGTTTATTATTAGAAAATAGACAATTAAAAAAACTCGAATTCTGTCCGGAAACTGGTTTCTGCCCAGTAGAGGTGATATCATACAAGCATGGAAATTATAAAATGGGAAGGAAGATATAGATTATAATGTATTTTTTGAAAAAGCACAACTTGATAATCATCACATCAGAGAAAATTCCATGAGGTTGAAAATAAAATCATGTAAAAAGGAAATAAGAAAACATTTTTTCTCATTAAGAGTAGTACCGGAATGGAAAAGATTACCAGATACTGTAGTATGTTCACCAATGCTGAATTCGTTAAAAAACAGACTCGATAAGGTTATAAAAAACAAATTATATACTGTTATACCGGATAATAATCATTGGGTGTCAGACCGAGGGGATTACAAGAGATTTATAATCTCGCGACCCTACGCTGGATAAAGTAAGTAAAGTAAGATATCAAAATAGAGCTATCCATAAAACAAAATGTAGCGCTCCTTAATTAAAATGATACATTCTGAGTGCTTTGGATTTCTAGGTAAATTTTAATACTGTATTATCACATCTCAGTGAGTTTCATCAAGCATTAGCTAAAGGTCTTCAGCGTACCCGTTTATATACTATGACATGACATGAACGCTGAGACAGACCAGTAGGGAAAGTCCACCAATAATCGTGCCAGGAATCTGACACGCTCATATTCATTCATCGGACATGCCATGAAGTAATGTGAAGCATACCTTGATAAAACTTTATATAATCTGTTGATAAGCCAAGGATGGACAAATAAAAATCTTATTAGGAACATAAACCACCTAATAGTTTCCGACAGGTAAAAAATTCAGCACTTGGCCGCCATATTACAAAAATGTTTGATCATGTGCCTGGCCTTTTTATCGACTCCAGATCAACCAAAATAAGTTTTATAATCAGAGATGTTATATTTCTGATCCTTAAAGATCGTTCAGCACGACATTATTGTTGTGCTTGTGGTATATTTAGTTTCAACTTTTCGGCATTTTCTAGTTGGGTGGTTCCAATATTCCTGCTTGAATAATGTTGAATCACCCTTAGGATATGTTGCCTGCTTTTTAAATTTGTCTTTTGACGTCTTATCTGTGATACGCAGGCTTCATAACCTCTGATCCCCTTTCCAAATTCCATTTTATTTAGTTCCGCCCATTGTTTTCTCGTTTAGGGCACACGCTTTTCATTACTTGGGAACCATACGCCCCTTTTCATTGAATGGCACGAAAGGGTCACATTGAAGGTTCCATGACAACCGCCGTATGAACACATCTGCGGATGTATCTAAATTCAAAATTTTACCATTTCATGTTTAAATGTTGAATTCTGCTTAAGCCGGTGCTAGGCGCGTGGACGGTAGTTAGCACTTTACAGTACCGTCCATGAACAGGCTCAATCAAACCGAGCCTGCAACATTTTCAATTATGTTGTGTTGGACTTTCTTTAGGGATTCTTTTTTTCTCTATTTTATAAGCATAAAAAATGGACAACCTCATTGTGGTGAAATCGGAAGCACAATTTCTGTTTGCATGATAAACTCCACCTTCAAATCATCCGTACATCAATATTAAATCAACATACATGACTATATGTAGCAGTCCTAATTTAACGGTATATTTCCGCATTGTAACGGATGTTTTTATACAAATTCAATCTTTTTTTTATGAGATGATTACTTTTTACTGAACCTCAGGCCTAGTGCACCGTGAAGTTAAACGGTTAAAATGTGTTTTCACAAGAAAATCTCATATTTGTTGTGTTCCAGATAGCAGTTATAACACTGTGACGTAGCGCATACACAAGCTGATTATAATCTTCATTTGCATGTTAAAATTCGTATACGAACTTTAGTGTTACCGTGGGGTTTTCCGTTTAAAATCCTTATTTATGAACAATATTTGATGAGATTTACAACAATACTGTTAAAAAGGTTAATGGAACTGTAGAATGCTTGGTTTTTTAGGCTGACGGCAAACATATTTTTACTTATTTATTTAATGTAACTTTAATGTATTCTTAGGCAAATAAAAAGTGGCAATAAATTGATCTGTAAAAAAATCCCTGGAACTTATGTTGGACAGAAAGCTCCTAAAATAAGTGTGTTTGGGGGAAAATATGCAAATATATTATGATATTTCCCCCAAATGTATGATTTAAATACCGGTAAGTCTTTATTAGTCCCCTACCGGTTTAACCGGAGGGAACTTTAGGTTTACCCTCCGTCCGTCTGTCTGTCTGTCTGTCTGTCCGTCTGTCTGTCAGTCTGTCCGTCCGTCAGTCCGTCCGTCCACAAAACTGGATCCCGCGATAACTTGAAAAGTACTGAAAATATTTTTATGAAACTTGATATATGGATAGATGGCAGTA